TGCCTCTGCTCCACGGGTGAGTGCTGCTGGGGCTGCCAGCTCCCCTCCCTGCTGTGCCCCTTGCAGGGCAGAATGGCTGTCTTGGTTTATTTAAGGTTAAAGTGAGCCATTTGTCAAAAAAACTGAGTCATTGGAAGATGTTGGTTAAGTTAGCTAAGCAGTAAGTTAACTTTTGTTACGTTAGTTATGCATTTGGTTTTTTACTCCAAACACTGATGGTGGTGCTCTGGCTGAAGGGTGGGCACAGGATGCTGCACCACCTGCCTGCCCTGCAGTGCCTCTGCTCCACGGGTGAGTGCTGCTGGGGCTGCCACCTCCCCACCCTGCTGGGCCCCTGCCATCCCAGCCTCTTGCTCTGGTGTCAAACGAGCAAGATGGGTGTCTTGGTTTATTTAAGGTTAAAGTAAGCCATTTGACAAAATACAAAGTCATTGAAAGATGTTGGTTAAGTTAGCTAAGCATTAAGTCAACGTTTGTTAAGTTAGTTATACATTTGGTTTTTTCCTCCAAGCACTGAAGGTGGTGCTCTTTTTAGAGGGGAAGGAATCTTTTAAAGTTAAGATCTCTTATAAAATTAAGAGCCCTTATAGAATTAAGAGCTATCTGTATTCTTATTTGTAACTCCTACTAAAGGGTACATTTCAGCATGATTTTAGTGCAGAAAAACTCAGCAGAGGCTCATTTGCAATCCTGTTGTTGTGGAGGTATGTAAATTATGCTGTTAGCACCAACTTTAGATACCATGTACAGAGGGGTCTAAAAGACTGGATTGGTATTAAAGTGCAGCACATGCTGCTGTCCCTGTGGTGGAAAAGTGGTGCTGATACTGCTGTTCATGTTTTTCCTACTGGTTATGTCCAGAGGTGGTACAGGCTCTGTCCATAAATACGCCTTAAGTGTGCTGTCAACTCTCCTAATGTTACTCATGCTATATTGAAGTCTGATCCTGAGTTATTAAACCCCTGAGGATCTGAAAACGATTTTATTTTCTTCTGTTTGCTTGTTCTTAAGGACTGGCTGAGTTTGAGTAGAGAGTACAAAAAAAAGTGTAAGAAAACCCCATCACCACCATTTAAAGCTTTGTGGTACCTGAATTAGAGTCATAACTGGTTGTTTGCTGCTCCAGTGACTTGTTTTGTTTTCCCACAGGAGGCATGGATGTGATCTTCACTCTGCAAGGGGATCCCAGCCTGTTTGTGGCTTCAGCTGCCAGCCAGCTCCTGGTGCACTTGCTCACCTTCTCCCTGGAGTCTGAAACATCCAAAGCTCTCAGTGCCAGGGACTGTGACTGGCCAGGCTGTGCCCAGATGATTGTAGAGCACATCAAAGAGTCCCTTCAGTCCAGCTCTGCCCCTCACGTTGAGCAGTCCCTGAAGCTGCTGAGCAGTTTGTTTGGCAGTTGTTTTGGCAGTTGCTATGCTGCATGGACTGAAGTCCTTTGGTTGGACATAGCAAAGCAAATAGAATCCTTTCTGCTGGAGGAGACTGTTCAAGCCCAGCCCCTGCTGGCCAATCTTCTGCTGAACGTGGCACGGTAAAGATCTTGTGGCACCTTGGCGCCCCTGCTGAGACAGATCTGTTTGCCACCCTGGGGTGGGTTACACTTACACTTCTCTCTTCTCAGATCCCCTGCATTTTGTGGCACTGAAGGCAGCTTTTGGGCATTGGTAACTTCTGCTCTGGAACACTTAACCCCAGTACAAGCAGGTCCTCTGGCAGTGGGACTTCTGAAGCTCTGCAAATGGTAGGACTTAAAGCAATGAAATTTCTGCACTGTGCAGGTGTTTCTGCTCCATATTTCCCCTTTAGGCAGTGAAAAAGCAGCAGGAAGTCATCAGATGAATACAGCACGTACAGATACTGATTTACAAGCTAAATAACACTTTTGTTCTAAACTAGAAGGACACTTTTGTTAACAAGATATTCCTCTCTCCCAGCCTCCTTACACAAGATCCCACTCTGTATTTGCATAGCTTGACAAAGCTACTTCTAAATTCCAGAGCCATTTCTCCTCTGCTTTCATTTAGCATTGGAAGCAGGCTCAGATTGTGATACAGCTTTTGTTGCTCTGTCATTGCTGGCTTGTTTAAAAGTCTGCATGAAAATCATTATCCTGCTCAGCATTTGGGGGCAAGTATTTGGGAAGGGATTGAAGTTTACTTGTGTTGGTAACTGCTGTTTCCTCCTTGAAGCCCACAAGATGTCAGGATTCAGGCACTGACTGTTCTTCTTCAGCCAATGGACTGTATTTTGAGAGCAGCCTCCCAGCCTCTGGAATGTGCAGGTACAGTTGTGACAGAAAAGTTAAAGGCCATTCTGCTTGCCGGTATTTTAAGTACAGCCAAAACTGGAGGAAAAAGAGTAGGAGAAGTCAAGGACAGTAGCAGTGTTTGTGATAAATCCTACTGCCAGTTGCATTTGAAGGCATGTTCATACTACATCAGCTGAATATCTTGGTTAGCTTTAAAAATCACAGCCTTTTCTATTAATTGATGACCTGAGCTCTTCCCTTCTTTGGTCCTCTAGGTTTGCTGGATGAGTCTGTCAGTGATCCTGCCACTGTTGAAAGTCTTCTGTCCTCCAAAACATCCTGTGCTGGTCTCCTGTGTCAGACCCTCACCCACCTGGAGAAGCTGCTGTCTCTGGTAACATTCAGAGAGGGAAAAAAAGAACCTGGGAGTCAAAGTGGTCCTTGAAATTCAGTGTTAAGATGGTTGCAAATTTTTTCAGTAGAGCATAACAGAATGTGGAGAGGAGTTGGCAATGAGGGTTTCCATATTTTAAGGAAATTTAGCACAGTAGGCTCTAAACAGGAGAATAGAGATACTGAGACTCTTAAAGAGGGGCTGCACTTAAGTTTTAAATTTGTCTTGATGAGCTTTGTTACCATACCTTACTTGTATTGCAATTATTGATCCTAAGAAACACAAATTGGGCTGCTTTCCCAAGCAGTCAAAAGAATCTCCTTCCATCTGTGCAGCAGTTCTTGGAAAAGAGGAAGATCATTTATTTGTAGTTATTGACATTGTGGTACCTTAAGAACCCACTAGAAGTTCAATTTTTGCTGCCTTCTGACCTAAAACTGCTCTGTATTAAGACTGTTGCTGGAAACTCTTTTCTTCTCTTTTCTTTCTCACCCATTAGAAACATTTAAGAGTGGATTTACCCTGTGTGTCTTTGCTGCACTCTCTCATGACAATATTACAATTCTGCAATGGCTTCCTGAGCCCAACTTCTCCTCTGGGAAGCACAATCAGCCGGAATCTGATCAACTGCTTCAGAGTGCAAAAGTCAGCCCTTGATGTCCTTGCAGCACTCTCAGAGAAAAAAGGTGAGTTCATGTTTGCTTTCTTACCCAAAACAGTTGTACAATTCTGTGTCTTTGTGTATTTCAGCAAGGATTTGGCTGCTCCATCTCTCAGTATTGGCCCTTTGGGTTTGTTTTCTCTGTTTCAGAGTGTGACACCCTCATAGGAAATCTATTTGATGTCCTTCTGGCATATCTGCAGAGTCCAAACACCAGCCCTACTGTGAGTACAGAACTAGGGAGAGATCCAGGTCTATCAGTGTGCCCCAGTGGGGTGTAATTCCCATGAAGGGTCTGACTGCAGGTGTTTTTTAGCACACTTTGTATTAGAATATGTAGGACACTTGTCTTGTCCGGGGCGGCTTGCAGAAAATATCTAAAATTGTAATGAGCACATAACTGACCAGTCCATTGAGAGTTCTTGAGAAGACAGGAGCCATCCTGTCTAAGAGTAGCACTGACATAATCAGCTTGACATGGTCATGAAGTATTGAATTCTATTTATTAAGAGGATTTGGTTTTTTTGCTTTGTTTTGTTTGAATGACTCTGATGGCAACTGCAAACCCAAAGCTGGAGGAATAGAACTTTGTAATACTAAGCTGAACACGGGGATTTTCTAGATGTTTGTTAGAAATTGTGTTTAAGCACCATTTTTTGTGGTTGGCTTCTTAGTAAGGAGGTATATTCTGATAATTTATCTGTAAGTTTGAGGCTAAAATTAATTTTACCTTTAAAGCCATAAAGGCAGCACTGCTCCTCCTGTAGTAAAGTCAGTCTGCTTTACATTGCTTCAGGTTCTAAAGAAAACCTTTCAAGCTACATCCAAGTGGTTGGTGCACTTGCAGGAACTGTCCTCCTCCAACAGCCAGGGGCCACAAACTGAGAAGATTTTGGAAGGTAACAAAGCTGTTCCAGCTGGAACAAACAGCAGCTAGTGGCACACATGAAATCTGCTCCTGCCTACCCTTCCTGCTCAAAGCACTGGATTCACTTGTTCACAATTATGTTGAATGAGCTGCCCTAATAGTGCTTTGCAGAGCTCTGGAAAAAGCACCCAGCAGCAAAAGGGACTGCCTGAGATGAAATGGTGTAAGGGTTGTACAGTGAGTGTTTCAGTAAGGCTTGTTGCCTTTCATGTCGATTCAGGTTTGTCACTTGCCTTTTACAGATGTGCTGGTGGTGCTGCAGAAACGTTTGTGCAGTCCTTGCTGGGAAGTCAGAGATTCTTCCCTGGAGTTCCTCACTTCCATGGTTAAGTGCTTGAGAGGTAGGTGCAAAGATTTACCAGTTCAGATTTGAGGAGTATTTCCTTTAGTGGTGTGAAAGTCAGGCTGGTGAAGCATTTTCTGACCTGTAACTGGAGGGCTGAGAAATGAAAAAACTGTCAAGATTTTTACTCATAGATTGTGATCAAAATCTGACAAAAATAGTAATAAACTTACCCTGCTTTTTCTGTTGAACTCAGATTGCTGTACCTGCCTTAATGGCAGTTTTGATGAGTTAAACTGAGGTGTTGAGACATGACTGTCAAGGCAGGTGACAGTGCTTAATGGCAGAGAATATTTCTGGTTTTCAGTTTGCTCTGCACTGGAGTCTGGTTTCTTTTAACAGGCTGGGGGCTGGCCTTTAGGAGGCTGAAAGCCTAGACCTGCTTTATATGCTTGGGATTAATTACTGATTTTCTGCTTTACTGATAGCCAGGCCTTGCAGCAGGTAGCACTGAGGCAAAGCTGATTTTCCTACAGCAGCTCTGCAATGTTGGAAGGGAGGGGAATGTTATCAACTGCTGTTGTCCCCAGGTCACAAAGGAAATATCCAACATACTCAGCTGCATTAGCACTTTACCCTCCAGCCCCTCTCAGTGCTGCAGTTACTTTGTTTTCTCTGCCATATGCCTGACAACAGGAAAGGAAGACTGTTTTTCCTCATTTAAACAAAGGCATAAATTTGATGAGGCTGGAACCATGTCCCCACTTGCCTGCAGAAAGTTTTTTCTTGCTGTTAAAACAACTCTAAGTGCAATTTTCCAAGTTCCAGTGTCTGTCAGGGCTTGACTAAAAGCTGCTGGGAGAGGGGGAGCCTTACACAGAACATCTGCCTGCTCCTGCAGCAGCTCCTGTCCCTGCAGGCAGCGGCCATCCTTGTGCAAGGCAAAGGGCTGTTTGCATTGGAAACAGCTTCATGCTCAGAGGGAGTAAAATCCCACTTCACTGGATTGCTGTCTTGTTTACAGACCAGAAGGAGTTCAGGCAGTGTCTCCTGTCCTCTGAGGTGCTGAGGCTGACAGAAAACCTGCTGGAGGACCCAGAGAGCTACGTGCGAGCGAGCGCCGTGACTGCCGTGGGACACCTGGCCCCCATTGCTTGCTTTGCTCCAGACTCACCTGTCACAGGCAGTCAGTATAACAGAGAGGTAGGATAAACTTTTCTGCATGAGCAATTCCCATCAGTTTACTGCTGTACTGCTTATAATTTTCTTCCCAAGTTATCTGCTGATGCAGGCAGGTTGCACAGCCAGTAATGAGAGGATTTTTCACCTCTGCTGGTTTTGTTTCTTTGCATGCTCCTCCCCTCACTTTGCTTTCTCTTTTGTCTTTTTGCATCCAGAGCATCCTAGCAAAGCTTCAGGAAATCTTGTCAACAGACTCAGAGGGCTTTCCTAGGAGGGCTGTGATCAGCATCTTCACCAAGTGGCTGAGGGAAGGCTGCACAGGTCAGCTGGAAGATACAGAGCTCTTTGTCTCTAGAGTCATCCAGACTGTGGAGCGTGACTTAGACTGGGAAGTCAGACTCGGTGGTTTGGAGCTGGTGGAAGTTTTCTGTAGCCAGACCATTTGCCAGCTCTCCCAGTGTCCCTATGCTCCTGTCACCTCTGCAGTCCCCAGTTCCACCCCTCAGAAGGAGCTGCTGCAGGTGTTCTGTCGAGCAAAGCTGTTTGGGTTTTTGTTTGGCTCTTTGTGTGACTGTGACAAACCCGTGGGGCAGAGAGCCTGTGATGTGCTGGTTGGCCTGAGAGGCCATTTCTACCCCATGAGTACTTTGGAGAATCCACAGGAGATTGAAGATTCACCTGCAGGACGTGGCATTGCCTGGCTACAGAGGACACTGAGACAGGGTTCTCTGGCTCAGAACTTCCCCGTGGATGGTGATGTTGGGGTGGATTTCCAAGATCCTGAGAGCATGATGTTAGCTTTGGGTGCAATAGACTTGCTGGAGCTGCATGATGAGCTAAATAAAAGTAGTGACCATGTGGAGGAAAGCCCTCAGTCCCTCTTACAGGACATCCTTGCTGCTGTGGGGACCATAGAGGATAATGAAGTTGACTGTTACTGAACAGAGCTTTGGCTCTGAAGGAGCAGTGCTCAAGCAGTTTTCTTCTGGAGGAGAAGGATGGTTTTGTTATCTGTTAAATAGGATGGAAAATCTTTGCTTTAATACTGATGAATATTTTTTTGTTAAGTGTCATTTCTAATAAACTGTTGTTTCTTTTTCAAAGTAAAAACATTAAGAATGGTATTTGTTCTTTTTTTTAAGTTGTCGTTTAGGAAAGCACCAGACCATGCCTACATAAGGAAGCATTTAAAAAAACCAAAAGAGTGACTGAAAACAAACTGTTGCAGGCTCCTTTTAGAGCCAGAGTAGCTACAACTGATGGAGACTGGTTTAAGGGACACTTGTTTTGACCTTTCAGTATTTATTCTATAAACAGAGCTCTCAGCTTCCCTTGTGCATTTTGAGGTCTAGAGCAAAAAGTGGCATTTAAGGAGTCAGAAGCTGATCATCCTTGGCATTACAAATTTTCTCTTGTAGATCACAGACTTGTTTGATCTCAGCAGTGACACCAACAAGCTGACTTTGATTTTAATTGAAGCCAGAAGCAAGTCCATTTTGCTGATTCTTTTTTCAGATGCTCCTATTTTTCATTCCTAAAGTACTCAGTTTCCAACTTTTTGAGAGAAACTTACCCTTAAAGATTTTTCAAGATAAATTCAATCTGTTATTAGCTTTGGTAACAACTAGAAACCAGCAGACATAGTGTGAATGGCAACATTATTTTCTGAGAAAAAAATGCCAGTTTTTTAAAAACTTGGGGAAGACTGCAGTTGGCAACTTGCCCCAGTATCTTGCCATGTACTAAGAAGCTCTCAACCTAGAAGAACCCAAAGCAAACAGTACCTTTAGCAGATCAAACCATGGTGGGTTCTTTTCTAGCACTGAGGTGTTACTGAGCATCCTTCATCCTCCTGCAGCTGTGGAGAGGCAGAACGTGACACTGATTTTGGGGCTGCAGCATCTGGAGCAGTGAAAGGACTGCACAAATCTCCTCCCTGCAGCAGGACAATGGACTGAGGTGTGGTTTGGATCTCTGGCTGCTGAGGCTGAAGGTTTACTCTGTGCCTTTTGAGGAAAGGAGCACACTTGCCTCTTGCTCTGTGCAGTTTTATGTGTGACAGAGCCCTTGGGTTTTGCACCAGCAGCTGTTTTGAGGAGAGAATAGCTCTGCTTCTGACACACAGTTCCACCTGAGCTGGGTCTACACCTGGCAAAAGACAGAAGATAGTAAAATTCAGGCCTTTTCCTGTCACTGCATTCATCTCAGAAGTGGAAGGGGTCAGTGAGAGAGCAGGGAAGTGCTTTCAGAGGTGTGGAGTGTTTGTGGAGTTGCAGCAGCCCTGTCTAGTGAAGGCACTGCAGTTCCAAAAGCAGCACTCTGTGTTGACAGTAGGTCAGCTGTGCTCCAGGAGAGGAGGCAGCAGCTTGCTGGGTGAGCCCTCCCTCCTGCTCAGCAATTCTTGTCATTTCAGGACTCTGCAGTTTAGGAGACTCCAAGGAGTTACTCAGATAGCAGCAAATTGAAAAAGTGAGTTGTTACAGAAGGAAAACTCGCTGCTTATTACCAAGGTCTCTCAACTCCCAGACCTATTAATTTTTCATGGAATCCTTTTTCTTTTTAATAAGCTGGGGTGAGGGTGACATGATGTTTGTAGCATTTGCCTAATTGCAGTCCAAAATTGTGTTTAAACACTTGTATATTAAAAACCAAATGTACAACAAGCTGGGGGGGGCTCCTTACATTTAGAAGGGGTGTTAAGGACTTGATTTCTCTTTCATTAAAAACAGGTCTCCACTTCCAGCAGCTCTGTGGCAGTGTATTTCTGTCTGTCTGAGCTCCCTACTTTACCTTTTGTTTTCTCTGTGTTTCCTCTTTGTTTTCTCCCTGCTTTACCTTTTGTTTTCCAGTGACAGTGGAGTGCCCCTGACACCAAGGTGCTGGCACTGCCATGCTGCCCCTGAGAGCTGGGAGAAACAGGAAGAGTCAGGGACATCTGGGCAGAGTGTGGAACAAATTCCAGGGCTAAAAAGATTAAGGGAGATGAAAACAAGCTAAAAATACCACAATTCTTTCTACAGAAAAGAATGGGGTGGGATTTTTGAGCTGGAAATTTAGCTACCAAATTTATGAACACACACACCAGCAGCTACTGATGTGGATCATCCCTCCTGCTGGGATACCTCTCTAGGATGCCCATCTTCACACACTTGAGGACTCATACAAGCCCTACCCCACTTGCTTACACCCACAACTTATTTTAAACCCACTTCTTATTTTAAACACCTACCCAGGGTGTTTTTGCACCTCCACAAGATCCTTATCCCAGCCTCAGAGCCTCCTGCTGGGTTAAGAATATTTGATGTGTAAATATTTGAATATTTAGGGATAATCCTAAAAAAAAACTCTGTGCCAAGTCCTGCCAAGGAGCTGTGGTCATGCTGCACATGGGGGAAGGTTTGGCTCCCAAGGAGAACAGCCCTGAGCAGCTCTGGCTGCCCCAGGTGCATCCTGAGCATTCACTTCAGCCTGTGCCTTTGTTATTTAACCACTTCACAGCCCAACAACAGTTGTCCCTCCAGAAAGCACCCCCAGCTCACTATGTCACACAGCAGAGCAGAGCAGGGTCTGTCTGGCCTGTTCTAATGGACATTTTGGGATGGATTTCTCTGGAAACTCCAACATTCATCCCATCAGAGCTGGAGCTGTGTTTGGTTCAGGCACCACTGGGAGTTTTCCCAACACCCACAGAGCCGATTGTGCCAGGGGCCGTGGCCACTCATGAGCCTCAGTACAAGAGGACAGGAGGCTCAGGACCATCCTTTGTTTTCAAACAAAATAGCTGGCAGGAGAAATGCAGGTGGCATTGACAAAAAATATCACAGTTTTAAAAAATTGTGTCTCTGGTGGCTGGTGCTGTGAAAGAAGAAAATTTCAAAGCTCATTTCAGCTCTTTATCTGCACAGGGGCAATGCTAAGTTGTGTTGTCTGATCTGTACACAGGTAGGAAATTCCTAGTGTTGCTTTCAACTCATTTCAACAAAGCTCTGAAGAGAGGATTTATCCTTTAACTGCTCAGACTCAGACACCAGAGAGAATAAGCATCTTTGGCTCAGCCCTGCACCAGCAATGGCTTATTGAAAGCTGCCAAAGAAATGGCTGTTAATTTTCTGGTTTAATACACTAGACATTTACAATACAAAGAATATTCTTTGCCTAATTACACTAATTGCACAACTTAGTCAAAAATGGGCCATAAATGTCTAGGGCTGTTGCTTCAGCTTAGATATACGTGATGTGTGATTACAGATCAATTTGTGCACATCTATGCAATTCCTTCTCTCCTTCTCTGATAAAATCTGCTCTACCTTTCAATACATTTTCATCAAGGCTTCCAAAAACCAGCGTGCATTAGAGAGGAACTCCTCAAAAAGCTTCACTGCAGAAGATATCAGCAATTTACAATGGAAATAGATACCAGCAGCAGCAGCTCTGTGGTCTGTGTCATTTCCCCTCAGAGCTGTGGGTTTTTTCTTCTGCTGAGAAATAAAGCAGCCCTTGAGTGGGGCCAGAGCTTGGGCTGTGTGAGCCCTGCTGCTCCAGGGGCAGAACAGCTCCTGCCTTTAACCTCGGAGCAGCACACACAGAAATGGGGTTTGGAGGAGCTCTGTGTCCTTCTGGACAAGGCAGAGCAGAGCTGAGGATGTGCAGCTGTGAGGAAACACACATCCTGGGGCTCTCCTGAATCCCTCCAAGGGAAGGGGGATGAGCAGCCCTCACCAAGGGTCCCTGCAGAGCTACAGGTGCAGATACAAAACAATTTCAGTTAAAGAAAAATTAAATTTAAGAAAGCAGTGTTTCTATCTGTGGTACCAATGCTCACTCTCTGCTCAGAGCACACCACTGAAAGTGTTTATTTACACAATAATGAACATATAACAGGGCTCCCTTCACACCTCTGCCTCCAAAACAAGCCCATACAAACCAAGCTACTCCTCACTTGCCTGGCTGTTAACCTCCATGCCAGGCAGGAACCCAATGTCTGGCACAGAGGGTGCACCCACCTCTTTGAGAGACTTTTCTTAGATCAGACCAGACCAGGTGTTAAACCAAGACCTTAACCAGTTCCTTTGGCGTGTTAGAGCTTGAACTGTCATAGGTCTGATGCTTTTCTCTCATTGTCAGTGCAGGATAGGTGAGAATTACCCTCAAGAGACAGAGAACTTCAATCTTCAGTTTTCCCACCTCATTATCTTTCCCTCCTCACATTTCCAGTCTCCACTGACCCATATTCCTGAGCTCTCTGTACACAGACAGCCAGGCTTGCCCAGGCTGGTCCTTCCTTTCTGCCCTCACATTTGAGCTTTGGCCCCAGACCAGGCTGGGCTGTGAGCAGCACACAGGAGCTGCAGAGCCAGGGCTGGCAGATGGTGACTGCAGCCTGCACATCTTGAAACACGACTTGGCCCAGCCAAGGCAGCTCCCAAACAAACCCTTATAAAGCTGCATTCACCATCACGCATGAAATCTGATTTAGCCCTTATAGGCTGGGGCACAGGTGAGTCCTAAAACTCATCACTCCTGATAACAAACACCCTCCACGGGACTGATCTCGTGATTACAACTCTCATTACGTGCCAACAACAAAAAAGCCGCAGTTAAAACACAAATGGCAGTGGTTGCTAAGTGACAGCATCCATCACAGCCCTGAGACAAACAGCTGTGGCTGCACAGCAATCCTGTCCTGTCCATGTAATTGAGGATAAAAATGCTGTTTTCATAACTGTCCAGTAACCCTAACTTTGACCCAACAGAGTATTTTGTGCTTTAGGTTCTGACAAAGAGCTCTGTGAAAAAAAGGCTAAATCTTCCAGTGAAACCAGTGGAAGTGAATTTGATTCAAAATACCTTTAATATTGTATGCTCTTTCAACATATTTTCTTCCCAGTGAGGTAGTGCATAAGACAAACATGGCTTTCTCAGTGGAATGGCCCATTTCTGAAAACAGAGATCGGTGACAATATTTTCAGTGAGGGCCACGTGAAACAACAACAAAATCAACAAAACCCCCACTTGTCAGCTTCTAAAGGGAACCTGTGGGCTTTGTTCCACACTGAACCTTTCTGCGATATTTGGAAAAGATGACAAGATTTCAGAGCTGTAAACAACATTTATCCTCATAAATAAAGTATCTAAACTGTAAATTTAAAATTACATGAAATGATGATTGAGTCTTTCAGGAGCCTGAGGTCCAGCAAGGCACAAAGGGAAAGGGAAAGCAGAGGTGGGAGCGAGGTGCTTCAGAGCTGGGTGATAACCCTTGGAGTAGAGAGACCCTAATTAGCACAACTGGCAGCTCAGTGCATCCGAGGAAAATGATTTAGGAAAAAAAGGAGGAAAACCAGCTGCACACAGCAGTTTGCTCACCCCAACACGCTGCAGTAAAGCCTGTTTGGGGCCGTGCTGGCTGCTGAGACAAAGGGAGGGATGTGGCAGTGTCCTGTGAGCAGATCTGGAGTGAGCAGGGCAGGGCACACACGGTGCCCAGCACAGCAGGAGTGCAGCAGCAGCAGCAGGGGCACCCAGCCTGGCCAGGGCACTGTCACTGTCACTGTGTGCCCTGCCACCGTCTGCTCCTACCCTGAGCAGCAGCTCTGAGACTGCTCTGCTGATTATGAATGAGTTCTCTGCTGCTCCATCCACGGGAGCCTCAATTCCCAGGGCCAGCAGTAACAGATCTGCCCACAGCTCCAAGAACACACGAGCTCTTTGGCCGGCGTGGTCAAAGCTCAGCCATGTGGATAAAGCCAACTTGACTGCTGCCCTTGGTCACCACCTCCATGCCAGCATAGGAAACACTTCTATTTTGCACATTGCACCAGAACAAAATGTGATTTTCCCCCCCCACTCTATATTTTATCCATGCACAGAGCACTTCTCCTGGCTGTTCTCATTGCTTCACCACAGTCAAGAAAGGGAGTGTGCCTCGCACTGGTGTTAAACCCTGGGTCTGTTCTCCCAGTCCTGCAGCACAGGGTGAATATTGCAGGGCAGACAAAGGTCTGCCTCTCCAGCAGCTTTAAATCAGGCAGCTCCAAGGTGCAGAGTGTCTGGCTGGCTGCATGAAGGGCATGTTCCCCATGTGTGCTGGCGGGCACACAGCTCAACCTCCCTGCTAGCACAGACGTGGCATTGGGAGGGATGAAAGG